AATAACTTATTGTCTACACCTGTCTAATTGTGTTACCTAGGGATATCCTGGTCAGTTTTCAGGTGAAGGTCAGATTTAAGGCTCCACTGCATACCAGCTTGGTCTCTGAGTCTATGCTTAGACATTAATTAATTGAATTTGTATTTGTTAAGTGGCTTCTTTAGGTACCAGTCAGGGTACTAAGATTCGTATTCTGGTTTATGCTTTTAGTTTTGATTAATTCATTTGTAGGCGGGAGATTACAGCACTCTCCTCCTAAGATTGTTGAGAAGTAAAAGATAGCATATTAAAGCCCTTGGAACAAAGCCTGGTATACTGTAGGTGCCCATTCAATGTTGGTGCTTCCTGTGTCCAAAAAGTAGGCACTTATTCCATGGTAAGTGAACATGCATAATCACCTAAATTACAAACACTAACAGTTAAGAATATAATGTAGTGGTTAAGAAAGCACACGCTGGAACCAGACCAAGTTCAAATTCTAGCTCTTCTACATACTGGCTGTGTGACTTTGAGACAGTTATTTAAGCTGCCTCTGCTTCAGTTCCTCATCTACTAATTCCCCAAATTCCCCAATAAGAGGATCTACCTCAGAAGGGTGTTATGAAGATTAGATGAGTTCAGATTTGAAATGCATTTGGAACAACAGCTGGCATTTAGTAAGTGCCATATAAAGGTTTGCTAAATGGAATACAAATTATACCTGGTCTTTCAAAATAGATCACAAAAGCAAAAAACCACTGTACTCTCTACATTGAAATTGGGAAAAGATGCTATCCTTTTTAGCTCCGTAAAGGCCTAGCCAGAGCCCCTGGGGGTCAGCCCATCCCATTTGCCCTGGGCCTAGAGACCCGAAGCTTCATTCATGAGAGATATGCCAGAAACCAATGGGTTGCTTGGGGCAGGGCAGTGGGAGGCAGGAGAGAAAAGCTTTACAGTGACATTAGAATTGAGGCAAATACAAGGATAGTGATTTCAGGTGGATTTGCTAATGAATGATTAACCGTCACCATTTTGACAATAAATCCAAGCTGTACCTCCGTCAATTCTTCTGGGATGATGGTTAAGGTATTTAATACTTCAGGGATGAAGTTTTCTTCTCTAAAGAATTCTAACTACAGCCTGGACATAGTTGCTCATGGCCTGTAATTCCAACACTTTGGGAGGCCAAGTGGGTGGATCACTTGAGGTCAGGAGTTCAAGACCAGTCTGGCCAACATGGTGAAACCCCACTGGTACTAAAAATAAAAACATTAGCCAGGTGTGGTGATATGTGCCTGTAATCCCAGCTATTTGGGAGGCTGAGGTTGGAGAATTGCTTGAACCCAGGAGGCAGAGGTTGCATTGAGCCAAGATTGTGCCACTGCACTCCAGCCTGGGTGACAGAGCGAGACTCTGTCTCAATAAAAAAAAAGAAAGAAGAAAAAGAAAATTGTGACTATGAACTCCAATGTGGGGAGGATTAAATGAGCAAAAGCCAGTGACCAGGGCTTTGGAAACGTGACTTCTGCAAATGTGAATTATTATTATGGACGTGGTGGCCATGGGTCTCAGAACTGCCAATCCCAGGACTGGCAATTGTGTAAACCTCAAGTAGCACGAGACCTTGTCTACTCTTTGGACTTCCAGGGTCAAATGGGCTCCTAAGCAAATTATTTTCTCTGCCCCAAAAGACTGCCGAGTGCTCTCGCAAAGGGGGCCAGCAAGTAGCAACCCAGTTGCTCTCAGCATGCGTGGGCATGTCAGCTGCTCTCTCAAACAGAAGTATTGTGTCCCAAGGTCCTTTTAAAATAAGCCTATTTTGAGATGTTTATATACAAACCAGGGAAAGAATGGGGGTATTATGCCCATAATGGAAAGGGCTCATAAATAAAAAGGCACCATTTATCGTCCATTTCCAAGGCTGCTCTGTGGGCTGCTGCTGTAGAGCTAAGCCCGGGAGGGGATGGATGTTGGGTCTTGTCAATCAGACTGGATGCAGGAAGGAGTGGGCTTTGTGCTGAAGACCCAGAGCTTGCAGAGTTCCAGAAATTTCTTCTTTGTCACTGGGGCCTGGCTACCTTCAGCAGATGGAAGATCCACTTTAGAAAAAGTCGCCTTTTCATTGTAATCGAGGCTTATAGCATGTTTCGGTGAATTCTTTAGAATTTCTGTAACCACTGTGGAGAGGCTGTGGGGGTAGAGGTGGTGAAGGAATGGGTTTTGAGTGCAGCCTATCTCACACACACACATACACATACACACACACACACATGCCATGCAGGTTACTCTTAATTATTGGGTTGCTGGATTTGTTACCACAAACATGCTCTCAGGTCACAGCTGCCCAGTGCTTCCCCATTACAGGATAGGTGCATATGAGGGATGGTGCATTTCGAGGGGTGAGGAACAAATCTATTTTTGAGCGCTAACTATGTGCCAGGCACAGTGCTGAGAACTCTCTCTTCAATATCTCATTTTATCCCCATACCAGTTGGAGGGAAACGGGTAATTCCTTCCAATTGTCTGAAATATGACACACAAGGTTGGCTTGTGACCTGGAGGTGGTTTCTCCTCCCCAAACAGCTCCAAGAGTCCTTTTACAAAGCAAAGTGGAATTGCCATTGGTTAGGACAGAGAAGTTACCCCCCAGCTCTGTTCATCTTTCCACTCCAGACGAATAAGGGCCAACCCCCATCCCTTACTCCAAACTGTTGGCCGGTAGGTTGAGTGCTATGTGGAGAACACACAGGATTTGAGGTTAAAGGAAAAGTCGAATATACAGAGAGGGAATAAAATGGTTGTTACCAGGTGTGGGGCAAGGAGGTGCGTGGAGAGAAAATGAGGAGATACAGGTCTAAGGATACAAAGGTGCTGAGGTGTGGGAGGAACAAGTATAGAGTTCTCAAGTGCAACATGAGTACAGTAGTTATTAATACTGTGTTGTATCAGGATTTTTGCTAAGAGTATCCATTAGGTGCTTTTGCCACACGCACACAAAGGGTAACTATGTGAAATGATAGATCTGTGTATTCACTTGGCTCTGGTAACCATTTCACTATGTATATCAAAGTTCATGTTGCAGGCCTTAAATATATACAATAAAATAAACAAGTAGAGGAGGCTGGAATGCCATGGGTTCGTTGTGATTGTGGCCTGCACAGTAGAGTCAAAGAGCATTGGCTAGGGAGTCCTCAGTGTTGTATGACGCCTTAGACCAGGGGCTCTAGATCTGGCTGCCTGGACTCAGTCTTAGCTCATCAGCTGGGACCTTGAGTGGACTTTCTTTTGCTGTGTCTCAGTCTCAGTTTTCTCATCTCTAAAATGGACACACAATAGTACCTACCTCACTGGGCTGGTGAGATAATGCAAGGAAGAGGCTATAGCAGGTATGCCCTTCTAATAGTTCCCTGACCATCTTGTCACTTGCAAGTTTCCTGGGCATTTCCTGCACATATCCAAGTACTCCAGCCTCAAGCAGCTGTGATTCTCTCTGCCCAAGGGCTCCTCTGGTGCTCAGGAGGGTGCTCAACCCCTGCACAGGACATTCAGAAGTGCCAGGGAGTTAATGTCCCAGGAGGGACCCTCAACCAGTGGAAGATGGGAGTTGGTGGATCCACACTCAGTTTTCTCACACTTAGTGGAATAAATCTCATATGTATAACACGGAGATTCCTAAAGTGTCCCCAGTAGGACTGAGCCTTAGTTATCCACAGAAGTGACCTACTAATCACTGTACCACTTATTGACCTTTCTTTCTTCTCTGTTTTATTTTCTAGCTCTCACTGTGCTTCCAGGAACCACCTCCCGAGTAAACACTATGCAACCAAATTCTCCTCTCAGAGTTTGTTTTGAGGGAACTCAACCAAGACAGGGGCTTCGCATGAAGCCTAGCATTTAATAAGTACTCAGCAAGAAGTATTTACCATTAATTAATTATTTTTTAGAGACAGGGTCTTGCTATGTTGCCCAGGCTGGAGTGCTGTGGCTATTCACAGGGGTGATCCCACTACTGATCAGCATGGGAGTTTTGACCTGCCTCATTTTCTCCCTGGGCCAGTTCATCCCTCTTTAGGCAACTTTGTAGTCCCTGCTCCTCAGAAGTCACAATACTGATGCCAAACTTAGTGAGGACACATGAGCCATACTGTGCTACAGTCCAGAACTCCTGGGCTCAAGCAATCCTCACGCCTTAGGCTCCCGGGTAGCTGGGACTACAGGGGTGCACCACGTTGCTCTGAAGCATTTACTGTTGTATTTCTGCAGTATTAGCTCTACTACGTCCCTGACTCTGCAACACCTGAAATTCAGTGGGGTGTCTGGTACTTTCTCCTGGCTTGTGCCCAGCTTTGGAGAATATGAGCTCTGGCTGTGAGGTAGAAGGTGCCTGGATATGAATGTCCCCTCTTCTTGAGTTTTGGCTTCAGCACCTGCCCACAAATAGTTCCCGTGATCTCAGGGAGCTTGGCCATCATTGGCAAGAATATGTCCTTCCAGCTGGATGATGGCTCATGCCTGAGAGTGAAATAATCTACTAACTGTGTGCCCTGGAGAAGGTGGCTGAGCCTCCATTTCCTCTTCTGTACTAGGGTAATTAAGAAGATAGGGTTGTTGAGATGATTAAACAAGGTAATGTTCATGAAACGTTCAGTACAGTGCTTGGCACAGAGGGAGGACTGGATACACAGAGGTCAGAGATGTTCTCTAGATCAGCCTCCCAACTGCACACCTGGAAATCTCAGGCTCAGAGAGTGACCCGTCATGGCTTTTCAACATGCAGTTGCACCTGCCATGAGATGAAAGGTGGGTGGAGTGGAAGGGCCTGGCAGGCCTGAATGACGGCAAACTTCCTTCCTGGTCACTTCCTGCAGTGGCAGCCTCCACTGATCAAATATTCATCAAACCTAAACAGTGTGTCCATAACACCATGCAAAGATGAGAAGGGCACTCATCAGGCCCCCAGGAAGCTCATGGCCAAATGATGCCGCCCAGGAGTATGAAGGGTGTTTTCAGGGCTCTGGGAGGAACTAATCTGGGAAGTTTCAGATAACTTTAATAACTAAAATATCATTTTTGATAGCTATATAATCATATTAATAATAAACATTTATTGATGCCTACTCTGAGGCAGGCACAGTTTTAAAGGGTTTATAGAAATCCATTCAGTTGATCCTATACTGGTAACAGATAGACTATTACTATGTTCTCCATTTGACAGAGAAGAAAGTGGGTCCCAGAGAGGTCATGCAGTTTGCCTAGAGTCACACAGTTGGTAAAGTAGGGGCACTGGGATTTGAGATGGATAGTACAGATCCAGAATCTTTACTTTAACTTCCACTGTACGACCCCGCACTGAAAATAACGCAGGAGACCTGGTTGTCTGAACTCTCAGGGGTTCCTTTGTAGAATCTTTGTGCAACTTTTAGTTGAATGATGCTTAGGTTCGTTTTGGCCTGTTGGCTTCTTCCTGAACTCTCATAAGCTTTCAGTTCTGGATTTGGGTTGGATTCCCTGGGAAACTTGAGTCAGATGTGCAAACACAACTGGACTCTGTCCTGGTTTCCTGGGGGCCCCGTTGCAGTTTCTAAGTGTGAGGAATTTATCATGGTTTCCCAGGACATTACTGACTAGCCAACCATTTCCGTCCTATAGATGGAGGGTGTTGAACCTTTTCAGGGTCACAGATTTTGGTTAACACTATTTTTGTGTCCTGCCAAGATCCCCTTTGCTGAGCCATCCCTGAGCTGCTGTGAGTGTTGGCTGTTAATGATTCGTAGTTGCCCTTTTCTTAGGGTTGCTCTATTTAGCAAATAAAAATACTTAATTTTATCTGGAAAACCTACGTTGTCTCCAGAGAAATGTCCTTGATTGATGGGAGCAACTCACAGCCAGTAACTGGGGGATGTAGGGGTGTAAGAGGCTGGCCTCATGCCATTGGATGAGGTAACTCTGTGTATAATTCTCTGGTGTCCTCCTGGGGATCATGCCAGGGTTACATATTACCCAAGATCACACCCTTGCTGGGTTCTTTTATCTGAATTTTCCTAGAAAGTTTCCCCTGTGAGTCCTTCCTCAGTAACTCCCATGACCCTGAATCCTGGCTTCAGCTTCTGCTTCTAGGAAACCCAGATCCCTTTCAGAATGTGATAAAAACTGGACTCTGTCCTTTAAAAACAGCACAGATGCTCCTATGCGCCAACATTGACACATGATTTTGGGATTTACCTTGAAGGGAGCCCCTTCACCCTATGTTTACCAAACCTTGTCTATCTCACCCTCTTCCAGCTGATAGCAGGTGACTGGCAGCCACTGGGGTAAAATAGGGTTAGCATGAAGTTAGCACTGCAAATTATAAGCAGGTTTTTGTTTTTTTGTTTTTTGCCTATGTGATGTTCATTATTTGCAAAAATTCTGTGTGGAAATCCAAACATGCCCAGAGAGAGGAAGCTGTCAGCTGATTGCTGTGGTAGGAGATGGTAGTTGAAAGAACATGAAGGAAATCCAAGTCTGATCAAGTCACCTACCTGTTTAAAACCCTTTAAAGACTTGTCATTGCTCTCTTGATAAAGATCAAAGTTCTGGACAATGTCTTGAGGCCCTCCATGGATAGGTCCCCCTCCTGCTGGCTTCATTCCAAATCACTTTCCCATTTGATCTCATGCACCAGTGGCCACGCTGGTTTCCTTTAGTCTTTCCAACTCAGTGTGCTCCTTCCTGCCCCAGGACCCTTGCACATGTCACTTCTTTTCTTTTGATTACTCTTCTCAGCCTTCTTGCTCCTCCATTACTCACCACTTTCTTGGGGAAGCTCTTTTTGACTTCTCAGATCAGATGGAAGCAGTCACATTATCTAGGACTTCTCCTTCATGTTAATTACCTATTGCTTTAATAAATTACCCCAAGCATATTATAAGCCACAAATATTTATTACCTCCAAGTTTCTGTGAGTTAGGCATTTGGGAATGGATTAACTGGGTGGTTTTGACTCAAGAGTTACTCCTGAGGTTGCAGTCAGGTTGTTGGCCAGGGATCTAGTCATCTGGAGAGGCTCCACTGGGGATAGAGGCTCTGCTTCCAAGATAGTGACATCGTTGCTACAAGTTCTCTGTTCCTCCCTAAAGGGGGGTTCTCCCTTACCCCTCACATGCCTGAGTATCCTCGTAACATAGCAACTGGTACTTCCCCGAGAGCAAATGATGAGAAGAGAGACAGAAAGACAAAGAATGAATCCACCCAAGATGGGGCAACAGTCTTTTTATAGCCTAATCTTGGAAATGACATCCCACCCCTTCTATTCCCTACAGTAAGGTACTGAGTCCAACCGATACTCCAGGAAAAGGGAATTGAGCTCCACCTCTCAAGGGGAGGAACATCAAAGTCTTTGTGGACCTATCTGTAAAAACACCACCGTCATTTACCATGGCTGGTGTCACTGAACTGGTATGATTACTTGATTTGTGTCTGTCTGGGCTGCACTCTTCAAAGAGGAAGAGCCTCTCCTTTATTTCTCCTTTCACCATCATATCCCAGTGCCCAACCCATAGTTAGCACTGAATATTTATTTAATGAATGGAATGATGTTAATTTTTTTTGTCTGTATAGTTCAAGAAAAATCTGGCAAAGAGGTCATGATCCATTTTTGACGGAATGTTACTGAAGCTCAGCCTGCACATGAAAATCCCTGCAGCTGGCTGGCCTTTGGATTTCAGTTTGAGGGGGATACAAGAGTGAGGGGCTATCATTCTTTTTCTTCATTCATTTAGCGAACATTTATTGAGCACTTACTGTGGTCTAGAAAGAGTGTCGGGTACTGAGGATGCAGAGCTTAATAGGATGCACAGCAGTTTTTATAAATTAAGACATCCACATGTTCGTGTATAAAGCAGCCCAAAGCCTTTTGAACAATCTTCAAACGTGAAAGACAACAGGCAGCTGTACTGGAAACAGACTCCTTGATACTGAGTTTGCAGAAGCTGTTTTATCGGCCCAGCATGTCGCCCAAGTGAAGTGGAGTATTTACATTTAATTCCAAAGTGGTTGTGCCAGCATCAATCCTCTGGTTTTCATACTTTTTGGTCACTGTTTGCAAATGTAATAAAAGGTTTTTGTCAAAGGAGCTGGATAAAGATGGAAAGAGAATGGTATTCTATGTGACTGGTGGGAAGCTTGAGTGGTCGATGCTGGGAAACAGTCGGCTGAGGTCACCGGGGCACACGTGGAGAACGGGGATAATGTGAAGAAAAGGAGTTGGAGAAAATGAAATAGCAGCAAAAATGGGCTTGGGCTAAAATGCATGCAGCGTGGGAAAAGCCCTGGTGTGACGCTCAAGGACCTCAGCTCTGGTCCTCACGTTGCTACATACTTCCTTTTTGGGGTCTCTATGTCTTTATTCGTAAAGTAAGTGCATTGTTTCAGACCAGAGGTTTTAAAACCTCTTTTTCCTTAGATCTCTCTAGTGCCACCCAGATATGTAAAGCAGAAGATTTAAGCCTCTCTTCTCAGACGACTAAGAATAGGGGGCTGTATCCCATGCTATTGGTGTCTCTTGCATATTCTCTTGTTCTGCAAAATTTTGGCTCCTTCCATTAAATTCCGACTGCCAGCACATGCTCCCTGTCACTCGCTCCCTCGCCAAGGGCTTTTTCTGGCTGCCAGAGTTTGTTTTGCCACTTCCTGGCACGTTGGAAGTACCAGAGAATTAACGTCCCTCATAAGCAGCTCTGAACCAATAATGGATGGGAGCCGTGGTATTTACACCCCAGCTCCTGCATGCCTCAGGTGGGATGCTGCTGATGCATGTCCTCCAGACTGGCTCACACAGTTCCCTAAGAGGCACAGGCTCTGTCTACCTGTCCGCAGTGATAATTGCATTGATAACACACCCCTTGTTGGCTGCCTTTCCTTCCCTTTCTCACTTCTTCACTCCCTAAGCGGTGACCCTAGAATCACCTTCCAAATATAAAACTTGCACTTAAATCCTTGTCTCTTGGTCAGCTTCTAGGGAAACCCAAACTAAGACAGTGACTGAGAACGGAAAAACCTCTCCTTTCCGCCTCCCTTATCCACCTGAGACATCTCTGCAGAGCCCCTAGGCCTAAGGGCAGTGTGCTAACCATTGGACTAAAACAAAAACAGCTTTTTCCTTAATGGTGGTGGTATTAAAAAATGCACGCCTCTCTGCTTTACTAGAACGTGGTGTATTAACAGCAGCTTTACCCAGGCATTTTCAGGTGAAAGGAACCAGATTCTTTAGAAACCCGAGATCAGATTATGCTTCGACTTTGTAGAGGGTTATTACGAACTGGCTTTCTCTTTTCTCACTTGCTTTATGGAGTGAGGAAACGAGTCTGTGCCAATTGGCAGATACGCTGGCCCCAAATAGGTTGAAGACAATGAAGCTTGAATGCTTTTAGATGGATATTGGCTCCCCGGTTTTGATTGGCGTTCTTTCCTGTCTCTTCTTCCAACCTTCACATGGAGGAGAAAAGGGAAAATCAGGTCCTTAGATGTTTCTCCCCTGCAGCTGGGAAGGAAGAACAAGAAGCATGAAGGAGGGTGTGTGTCGCGGGTGCCCTGCTCAAACTCCCTTGCCCTTCCCGCTTCGGGGAACAGTGGCCTGACTTCTGACTTTCTGCACCTGCACTTCCTTGCCTGGCTGGTGCTTTGTTGCTTTTTAGGGAATTAACACTCCCTGGGAGCAGCCCTCAGCCAGTGATTGATGAAACCTGGGATACAGATGCCCCAATTACCCTGTCCCTGGGGTGGGAAAACTCAGGGGTATGCAACACCAGTCCCATTCCATTCCCAGGATTAAGCTCTCATCACCTGCAGCAGTAACGTGCTCGATAACACTCCCTGTACTGGTTGCCTTTCTTCCCTGCTTCACTTCTCCATTCCTCTATGGATATTTTCTCACACCTCCCAAATAAATTTCGGGTACTCAAATTCTTGTCTCAGAGTCTACTCAAACTGCAACCAAAGTTTCCCAGGCAAGTGCTGGGTGCTTTCTGCTTATCCCTTATTTGTTCCTGGGGGGTCTGTCTTCTTTGGCCACAAAGTCAGTTGATGACAGAAGGTTCATGGGTGCTGTCAAGTGCCTCTGGGCTGGGGACCCAGACTTGGTGAGACCCCAGGAGACTACTGTGAGCTGGGAGTACGGGCTAAAGGACATGTGTCCTTCCTGCATGAACTGCTCTAGGTTCACTTCGTCATGGGCCAGACCTGCTTCTCTTGGGTGAATTCTACACCTTTACATGGCTTCTGCAGTAATCTGTGCTCTCTGCTCAGCACTGTCTACTTTGCTTGTTAGGCTCCTGCAATACAATAGCAAGCTACTTGGAGTTTCCCCACATCCCATTTCCTATTCGTTTCATGCCTGTTGAGTTCAATTAACTGTTCTCTCTGTCTATATTGCCCTTCCCTGCCTTTCCCTTAGCAACATCCTATGTATCCTAAAAGATCCAGTCTAAGGATGACTTCCTGTATAAAGTCTTCCCTGCATCCCTTGGGTGGAACAAGAGCCCTCGACCTTACTTCATGCCTCCCACCCACCCCCCAGCATCTCACTCTAACAGCACATTCACACACTGCACTGGAATTGTCAATGTATACATCTGTCTCTCCACCAGACAATGAGCTCCTTCAAAACCAGGCCGTGTATTATTCAATTTTTGAATCCCCAGTGTCCTTTAAAGGGACTGGCACACTGTAGGTGCTGGATGTAGGGTGGGTCCCCCAAAAACAGACACCAAGATGGAGATTTGTTTGCAAGTGATGTGTTAAGAAACTGCTCCCAGGAGAAACCAGGAAGTGGGTGGGGGGAGGAAAGAAGGCCAGCGAAGGGGAGGTGACAGGATTTCAGGCAAAAGTCTCGCTGAGGGGAGCCTCTGCCTGACCTTGTGGGGAGCTCTGGGGGCATGAGTTATGCCTCAGGAGCTGTCCCGAAAGCTGGGCTTGTGCATTCCCACACCAGACAGTCATAGGCTGCAATACTCCAAGGAGATGTAAACACCCAGGCACTTCTATGTCTCTGTACGTGTGGGTCAAGTGGTCCAGGAGCCCAAAGCCAGCCTTCTCGAGGCAGGCCCAGATGTGGGAGGTTAGAGACAAAAGCTGGGGCGTGATCCGCCCACAGAAGACAGGACAGCGTCCCACAGAGGATCAGGGGCCACAACCAGAGTGTCTACTAGAAGTCTCACTGCATGCCTGGTGACTTGCAGGGATATGCTGGCTGGGCAGACCCCCTGTGCCACTCCTGTCACCTCCAATTCAGCCTGTCTCAAACCCATCTCATCATGTAGTCCATCATCCGTCCTCTCCTTGCACCTGTTCTTGCCATGCTGAGTGTTTGGCTCCAACATACTCTGAATCTCCAAAGCCAGTTGCCAGAACTTGCCCTCGTAAGTTCATACCTCATGAATTCACCCAAATCTTTCAATTCTCTTGTCAAAGTCTTTTTTGAAGTCATCTTCTTTTTATTATTCTCATTATCTTGCTGCTACATTCTCAAAGCCAAGGATGGCACTTGTGCTTATTGAATGAATGGATGGATGGATGGATGGATGGCCCAATTTGCTAAAAGAACTTCTACCTCCATGCTTGGTGTATTAGTCTGTTCTCACGCTGCTAATAAAGACATGCCCAAGACTGAGTAATTTATAAAGGAAAGAGGTTTAACAGACTCACAGTTCCACATGGCTGGGGAGGCCTCACAGTCACGGCTGAAGACGAAGGAAGAGCAAAGAGACATCGTACATGGCAACAGGCAAGAGAGCTTGTGCAGGAGAACTCCCATTTATAAAGCCATCAGATTTGGTGAGACTTATTCATTACCATGAGAACAGTAAGGGGGAAATTGCCCCCATGATTCAATTACTTCCACCTGGCCCTGCCCTTGACATGTGGGGATTATTAGAATTCAAGGTGAGATTTGGGTGGGGACACAGACAAACCATATCATGTGGCGTGCAATTTTTCCATGAACCGATCCCACCCTCTTTCTTGATTTTATACATTCCTAAATACACATTCTACTTACCACAAAACACACTACTCGTTCTTATGCAGCATCATTCACGTGTCTTGACTTCTCTTCTTTGCCTTGCTCTTCTTTGCACCTAAAAAGCCTGATTTCTCATGCAGATCAAAACTACATTCAGATACCATCTCACGCCAGTTAGAATGGCGATCATTAAAAAATCTGGAGACAACAGATGCTGGAGAGGATGTGGTGAAATAGGAACACTTTTACACTGTTGGTGGGAGTGTAAATTAGTTCAACCATTGTGGAAGACAGTGTGGCGATTCCTCAAGGCCTTAGAAATAGAAATTCCATTTGACCCAGCAATCCCATTACCGGGTATATATCCAAAGGATTATAAATCGTTCTACTATAAGGACACATGCACACGAATGTTCATTGCAGCACTGTTTACAATAGCAAAGACCTGGAATCAACCCAAATGCCCATCGATGATAGACTGGACAGGGAAAATATGGCACATATACACCATGGAATATTATGCAGCAATCAAAAACGATGAGTTCGTGTCCTTTGTAGGGACGTGGATGAACCTGGAGAACATCATTCTCAGCAAACTGACACAAGAACAGAAAATGAAATACCACATGTTCTCACTCATAGGTGGGTGTTGAACAATGAGAACACATGGACACAGGGAGGGGAGCACTACACACTGGGGTCTGTTGGGGTGAATAGGGAGGGACAGCGGGGGTGGGGAGTTGGGAAGAGAGAGCGTGGGGAGAAATGCCAGATATAGGGGAAGGGGAGGAAGGCAGCAAATCACACTGCCACGTGTGTACCTATGCAACTATCTTGCATATTCTTCACATGTCCCCCAAAACCTAAAATGCAATTAAAAAAAGCCTGATTTCTCATCTTTTCTTGTAAAAATCCAGCTTATTTTCTGAGGCCCTTCTACCTGGGTGAGTTCTGCCTTTGACCTTGTGACATTTAGTGTGCTCCTCTCCTAGGGAACCGCTAAAAAGATTTTTGGCTTTGCTATTTAAAAGACAATGAGCTCCTCCGTATCAAGAACTGGATGTGTGGTGGGTTTAGTTAGTGTCTTAGTCTGTTTTCTGTTGCCATAACAGAATACCAGAAAAATGGGTAATTTCCAAAGCAAAGGCATTTATTTCTTGTAGTTCTGGGGGCTGGGCACATCTGTTGCAGATCTTCATGCTGGTGGGACTTTCTGCAGAGTCCCCAGATGGCACAGGACATCACATGGTGAGGGGGCTGAGTGCTAGCTCAGGCCTTTCTTTCATAAAGTGACTAACGCCCCACACTCACCACTTCATCTTAATCCTAATTACTTCCCAAAGGTCACATCTCTCAAATCTACAGTTGGATTTCCCACCCTCTTAATACTATTCAATGGAGATTAAGTTTCAACATGAGTTTCAGAGGAGACAGACATTCAAACCATTGCGAGCTGGTCACCAGATTGTTTAGTTGTCTCCTCTTGTGGGCACATAGGATTATGCTGTCCTATCTCCTGGAAGTAAGCCATAACTGTATGACTTATTTTGACAAATCAAAGGTGAGCAGAGTAACTTGCACCTAAGTTACTTAGGTGCCACTTCCAGATGGGGTCATGAAAGAGCCAGTGTGGGATTCTCCACATCCCCTTTTCCTGTTTTATCAATCATGGAAAGAAAGAGATGGAGCCTCCCTCAGCCTTGGTCCCTGAGTGAGGGCGCTGTAGATTGAAGGCCTCTGTGTTTCCACAACAAATATGTGGCATAGACAAGAAATACATTTTTGTTGCTTCCAGTCACCAAGATTTGGGGTTGTCATGCGGCCTAACCTAGCCTCTCTTGACTGACATTGTATCGGATTCATCTTCCTAGCCCTTCAGAATCCAGCAAGTGTCTTGGTGTAGAAGTGCCTCAAGGTAGATGTATTGAATGAATTACACTAAGAAGCTCTGTTTCTGGACTGAAGTCACTGCTACTCTGTGGCTGAGGTGATGAAAAGGATAAAATGGGCCTGCTCTAAAACTGAGGCATTAGGGTTGAATTTACACAGATGAATTAAGTAAGGCATTGAATGACTGTCCATCGAATTTTCATTTTAGATGGTCAATGAGGTGATTACAGTTTTGAAATGGAAAGAATGTTCTCCACATACTATTTCTCTTCTTTCCTCCCTCCTTTCCTTTCTTCCTTCTCTCCCTCCCTCCCATTTCACCCTTTTCTTCCTTCCTCCCCTCCTTTCTTTCTCGTAAACTTAGTTCTAGCTCTTGGTTGAGCACGATCAGCTTGTATGGGAAGCAGGAAGAAACCAGCCTTATGATTTTTAATTTCTTTAAGGTATGACTAAAGAACAGAAAACCTAGACATAAGAAAAATAAAATTGTGTTTTGAAAAGATTAATCTTTATGCTAGCAGAGGCAGTCTTGATCAGATCTTCTGTTTCTCAATTTCTCAACCTCTATAGCTCAAATTTCACCCCAAAAGCAAAAAGAATAAGATTTTCTAATGGCAAAAATAAATCTAATATTAAGTTTTTGTGTCTGGCTTTTCTCACTTTCTGGGGTTGTTTCCTATTATCATGGTCCAGGATCTTGGAAAGACCTTCAAGAAAAGAATTTTTTCATCAGTGACTGTGACAAATGAATCACACGGACAATTTGCTACAATGGTATTTTTTTTTTTTTTTGGTACAAAGGCAAGAAATTCTGAGTGGGGAAGCTCAGACTTCACCAACCTCATGGTTCTGAAATCACTCATCCAGACATGAAACAAAATTGAAAAATCAGAGAGATCTAGTTTGAAAGAAAAAAGAATGGTTGATGGCCTGATAACCAAGTAAGCACTCACTTTGCTTTTGTGCTGTTGGATGAGGATACTTGGATCACAAGAGGACTTGGAAATGTCAAAGAATTGACAGGCAGGGCTAACAGACTCAGGCAAAGTGTTTATCATACCAAAAAAGAAAAAAAGCATGCACCTGGAGTGTCAGCAGTCGCACTCGGACCGGAAAGCCTCACATCTCCCCTCTTGCCATAACAAACTCATTGACAAGAACTGTCATTGACTGTGCTTTATCTCCCATGTGCTACTCTGAGGGCGCATTCCAAGTGCATCCCACGTAAATTGAGGTTTGCTTCCTGACCTGGGAGATCAATTCACTGTCAAAGAGAGCCGGCTGATGAATCACCTTGTGGCTGCCACTGCATTGAAAATCACATCAAATACCTTCTCAAACACACTTCTGAATTACACGCTGGAATCTCCAAAGAGAAGGTTATAGATGAATCTGGAAAAACATGTATTCATCTATGTAGCTCAGCAGCCTGGGTATCTCACAAAGCCAATGAAAGGAGGCAGGTGCTCAGTGGTTTGGGTTGCTTTTGCAGTAGTGTGTCGGGGTTAATAGCGTGGATCTTGGAGCCTGGTTGTTGGGTGTGAAGCCTGGATCTTGGAGCCTGGTGGCTGGGTGTGAAGCTCTGTGACCTTGGGAAAATTATTCAGCATCTCTCTAAATAAGTTTGAAAAACTCTGATTTACTTTTCTTGGCTACAAAACAAGGATGACTATTGTGGTACCTTCTTCCCTCAAAGACAGGGTTGTGTCTTAAGCTGGTTCCCTCAGGGGAACATCCCAGACATAGATTTAAGAGCAAGTGGTTGATTGGGAGGTGAAGATAGATGAGTAGTAAAGGAAGACAGGAAGGAGCAAGTTACCACTGCAGGTGACTTGAGCATAATCCCCCTGGGGAGTGCTGGAGACTGTAAAACACAACTCAGGGTAAAACATGCACTCCAAGGGTGAAGGAGGCGGGGTATTTATACACCAATTCCAAGCCAGCCTTAATTGAGGACTGCTTTCATATGCAAGGGCATGAATGTCCATGTGCCATCTGAGTGCATACGCCTGGTGGGGGTGTGAATTCCCTGACACTTTTGGCTGCCATTCAGCCTGCCACGTGGGCTCTGTCAGGAAGAGAAAGGTCTCAGGCAAAGCAATGCATGAGCTGACAGCTGGCCGTCAGGCAGTGTGTGCTGAAGTAGTGAGGATGAAGTGTGTGTGCAGGGCTACAGCCTGTTGTGAACATGAAATGAGTTAATTATTGTGAAACCCTTAGAAGAGTCCCTGGCACAAAGCAAGCACTCCTCCAAGAGCTTGATTAAAACTGAGGCTGGATGGCTTTTCTTTGGGATGACTTACTATCTCAGGATGGAGTTTAGTTTTGGTTTTCACTTTTTTCTTTGAGATGCACTGCCATTAGGACCTTGGTACCATCCTGGTGGCCAAATGCACTACGGGTTTCCTTGAGGATGATTGTATAAATGTAAAGAGGGTTTACTGGTGGAACTGTGTCAGAGGGAATATCATCATGCCATGGCCTTTGTGACAAACATCTGCCTGTTAGGAAAGCTGACACATGACCAGCACCTCACTCAATATTGGAGATCACAACCTATGCTATGCGGCAGTCACAAGCCTGGAATCTTAGGGGCTTAACAAGAATTAACACCAGTCTAAGCTATTCTCTCCACCCAACCTGCACTGTGAACTCATTGAAGACAGGTGCCAGGCTGAATGATATGGACATACCACTGTATCCCTAGCACTTAAGGGATGCAGCACAGAGAAGGGCCAATGGTAAGTGAATGAATGAATGAATCAAACAAACCCCCTAAGCATCATGCTCACCACTTTTCCTTCATTTGAAAATTGGCTTCCTCCCATTGAACATATACTCAGCTCAAATGCTGCTGCTGCCTTTAAGCTCTCTGGGGTCTGAAATGATCCCTCTCCCCTAACTTCTTAAACATCTATGTCTCTCCGTGGTGTACCACAGTCTCACATTCTGCCACGCACTGTGTAATAAGCCCTTATTCTTCTCTCAAATCCCATTGCGGGTTTCCAATGAGAGTATCCACGTTAGGACATTCTCTATGTCCTGACCTGGCCTAGGAGACTCTGTGTGCTCTAGGTCCCGAGTCTCCCCCTGGGATCTCACCTACCACTTTCTCTCCTGCTGTACTCTGGCCACAGTTTCCTCAGCTGTTTCTTGCACATGTCGCACATGGTCCTGCCTCAGGCCTTTTTCACCAGCCATTCGCTATGACTGGAATCCACTTTTTACCTCCAGATCACTTGCTCAGATGATTCATATCACTGCTCAAGTGCCGTCCCCTCAGAAAAGCCTTCCCTGACCACTATATCTTAAAAAACACACACTACCACTCACGCCTGTAATCCCAGCACTTTGGGAGGCCGAGGTGGGTGGATCACGTGGTTAAGAGATGGAGACCATCCTGGCCAACATGGTGAAACCCCGTCTCTACTAAAAAAATGCAAAAATTAGCTGGGCATGGTGGTGCATGCCTGTAGTTCCAGCTACTCGGGAGGCTGAGGCAGGAGAATTGCTTGAACCCGGGAAGCGGAGGTTGCAGTGAGCCAAGATTGCACCACTGCACTCCAGCCTGGCGCCTGGCTACAGAGCGAGACTCTGTTTCAAAAAAACAAAACAAACAAAAAACGCAGTACCATATTCATCTGCTTTCTATTTTTTTTAAATCACATATTTGATTGTCCTGCCTGTTCCCTGCACCTACAATAAAGCAAACTCTTTTTTTTTTTTTTCTGAGATGGAGTCTCACTCTATCATCCAGGTTGGAGTGCAGTGGTGGGATCTCAGCTCACTGCAGCCTCTGCCTCCCAGGTTTAAGCAATTCTTTTGCCTCAGCCTCCTGGGTAGCGGGGACTACAGGTGCCTGCCACTACACCTGGCTAACTGTTGTATTTTTAGTAGAGACGGGGTTTCACTAGGTTGGTCAGGCTGGTCTCAAACTCTTGATCTCATGATCCACCTACCTCAGCCTCCCAAAGTGCTGGGATTAAAGGCATGAGCCACCATGCCTGGCCAATAAAGCAAACTCTTTAAGGACAAAGACCTCGTTTTATTTACTGTGGTATCTCCAACTCCTACGGCAGTGACTGGCACTTAATAGGAGCACAGTAAATATTTGTTAAGTAAATAACGTTTGTTAAATAAATGCATAAGGATTACTGTCCCATTTTAGAAACGGGGTAACCGAATCTTACAGAATTGAAGAAAACTGCACAAAGGTACACGTTATTTACTTACCTCTCATTTACAGTATGTGGACTACGTACAGGCATGTCTTAGTTATTCAGGCCGCTATAACAAAGCACCAGAGACTGAATGCCTTAGAAATAACAGAAATTTATTTGTCACATTTATGTAGGCTGGAAAATGAGTGTCCTGGCATGGTTAGGTGCTGGTGAGGGTCTTCTTCTTGGATGCAGATTGCTAACTTCTCACATCTTTACATGGTGGAAAGAGAGCTCAATAGCTTTTTGATCTCTTCTCATGAGGGCACTAATCCCATTCGAGAGGACTCTACCCTCATGGCTGAATTACCTTCCCCAAACCCCACTGCCAGATAGCATTGTAATTGGATTAGGATTTCAACATGAATTTTGGGGGGCCACAAACATTCATCAGTCCATTGTAAGGCACTTCACTTTAATCTTTATAGCAGTAAATTTTTTACATGTAGGAAAACTGAGGCACAAAAAGGCTGTGTAACTTGCCCAAGGTCACACAGCCAGGGAGTGGCAAAGTGGTGATTTGAACCAGATGGTCTTCCTCTTAACCTCTGTGCTGAGCTCTAGGAGACAGCCCAGAAGGAACTCACTGTGGGGTGCTGGAAGCACCAAGAGAACAAATTAGAAAGCTCTTTGTCGACTGTCCCAACATTGGCTGAACACTTCTCATATGAGAAACATATATGGAATCTCTACGACTTGAGCCTGGATAAAAGCTAGGTGTGAATGTCAGGAGTGACGTTGGAGGTCAGGTGATTACTCCATGATGGAAGCCATCAAGCCCACACAGGGCCTAGGTGTGCTTTGCGAGGTGGTCTCATCACTGCATCTGCAGAGAAGGTTCATACAGAGAGGCTCCAGGCATGACTTGCCATGTCAGTGAAAATGGACAATGTCTCTGCTTCCAAAATATTCTGACATCATCCTCCAGATAGACCCATCAGTCGGCCACCATTGGAACAAGGCATCCTTACTCTAGCAGTAAACGTCTAGCAAAAAGTCTAGCAAACTCCTTGAAGGCAGAGCCTGTGTCTCCACAGTACCTCACATGGGGCCACGGGTGGAGGTGAAAGGCTCCATAAATGGAGGTCGCTTTTGTTCCACCCAAAAGCAGACATTCAGGTAAAAACATATTCATCTGTCAGACATGGCTTGTGTCACTTTTTTCCAGCCTCTCCCTATGTTGATCTGCCCTACACGGTGGCTGTCTTCCTAACTCAAAATATGATCAAAGCCTTTATGTGCTTATAAACTTTTCCTGGATTTTCATTGTCCACAGAAAAAAATTTCAATAGAATCTATACTTTGAAAAAAGCCCTGTGGAACTATAGAATGTCAGCACTTGACGGAGGTCCAGAGACCATCTATTGTGTTCCCTATACCTCCCCGCTGCAATCCGCTAATTTTAGAGTCCTGATAAGGGAAAGCGAATCTGGCAAGGATGTAGCAGATCGGCGGTGGAGCCAGGCCTGGAACCCAGGACTCTAAGTGCCCAGGCCAGTGGTCCATTCTCTCTGAGCACTGCAGGGCACGAGCATGTAACTGCAAAGTCACAGAGAGCAGCTTTCTGTTTGAAGGTGGCTGAATCTTCCCTTCATCCTGTCATGGTAACCACTTTCATACAATTTTATCCCCCCTTGGCCTCTGATCTACAGACTGGATAATTAGTCAGGGCTTTGAATAATTAAAACTATTAAAAATGCCTTTGTACCTGCTAAAATTGCTCCAGTAATTACCACCTTATCAAGAGACTGATTCCATAGACTGGAATGCTTTTCCAACAGATAGAACGTATTTCCACTTGGGGCTTCATGGATTCAGAAGTTGAGAAAGAAGTGTTTGTTATGTTAGCAAGTCCCTTTGAAGATGAATAGTACCAACTCTTAACTCCACCACCTCCATAGAACCTCCTCTCATTCTAAGGAATAGATAAAGTGTATCTCTTTCTTTGCTTTCAGAGCGTGCTGGAAAATGTGATGATTAATTAAAATATTTGACTTACTGGAACCAGATTCTGCACTTGGGTCTTTCTGAGCCTGGCTTCCAAATTCCACATCCACTTTCCAACAAGTGAACTCCTATGGGATCAAAGCGAATGGCGGCACTGGCTTTTCTCAAGTCACCACCTGGTCCTTCTTGACCCATCCAACATCTGGTGTTGTGCCCTAAGATAGAAGATTCTGTCCCTGGGGGCTCTGCCACTTCTTTGTTATATCTCCCAGTGAATGGTTTTAAAAAAAAACAGTTATAGGTGCCCAAGGCTGACAACTTCAAGCTGTATTCAGGATTCTTTACAAAAATTGGGTGGACATTTCTAGGAAATGCAATGCAATTGAAAGATTATGGGTTCTTTGAGGCACAGTTTATTCCAGCATAGAAGAATCCCTCAAATTGACCACTCTTCTACTTTCTTCTCCATGAAATGGGGATTGTAATGCATATCTTCAGAACTGGAAAAAAATTAGTGAGATAATGATAGAGCATACAGTAGGTGATTGATATGGTTTGGGTCCATGTCCCCACCCAAATCTCATGTCCAATTGCCATACTCAGTGTTGGACTTGGGGCCTGGTGAGAGGCGATGGGATCATGGGGGTGGATCCTTCAAGAACGGTTTCGCACCATCCCTTTGGTGGTGTTCTGATGATAGCATTCTCAGGAGATCTGGTTGTTTAAGTGTGTAGCGCCTCCCCACTCCCTTTCCTGCTCCATGGGCTGGCATGTAAGATGGGCTGGCATCCCCTCTACTTTCTGCAAGTTTCCCGAGGCATGCTCAGAAGCCAAGCAAATGGCCAGCATCATTCTCCCTGTACAGCCTGTGGAACCAATCAAACCCCTTTTCTTTATAAATTACCCAGTCTCAGGTATTTCTTTATAGCAGTGCGAGAATGGCCGAATACAGTGATCATATGTGTTTACGGACATTGATGGGGGATTTCCTCTAACCTCCTGCCAGCTGCAAGGGGATCAAATTCTGTTGTGTGACTTGGCCATGTGAATTGATAGCTTCTAGTTAGGAGTTTGCTAAAGACAATCCTAGTCACTGTCATTTAAATAAGAGATGGTTTATTACAAAAATACTATTATGGTTGAAATACTGAACTCATCAGCTAAAGCTAATAACTGAAACTATGGCTTAGCATTTGATGTGGGTTTCCTTAAGCCTTTCCTTATTTATATTAACTACATAGTTGTCAGGATGTCTGCACCTTCCTTAACTGGTCTCCTTTCCCTCTCTCATCCTCACATCCCATTATTTCTACCTCTTAAATATTTATTGACTCCTTCCCTTTCTCCCTTTCTCTTTGTCTCAACAACTGATGCCCTGGTCAAGTCTCATCATCTCTCTCTTGGCTTTTACTGCCAAGGTTTGACAATTACATAAAAGAAGCTTACTTTTGGGCTTGGGCACAGCACGTGTTAGGTGGCAGCACATACTGGTGAAATGAGTCCTGCAACCCAGCTCTATAGGCATATATTAATCTACATCCAGGAAAGAGGAGGGGCAGGACAGCAGTGTACTTGGAGCTGTGAGTGTAGGAACAGGACAATTTAGAAACTTCTGTAACAGTGTACAGCTCTGTTATAATTATCTGTTTTATGTATGTCTTCTCATTAGAAAGTAAGCTCCTTAAAGCAGTAAGAGTATCTATTTTCTTCACTAATTTATATCTAGTACCTAGTCTGACATTGGCACATGACAGATGATCAACTTATATTTGTTTGATCTGAGGAAATCTGCCAGATGAAACATCTGTTTGATTCTTATCAGTTGCAAGAATTCCATCAGAGGTAAAGTTTGGTTAACTGTGGGAGGGACAAAACTAGATACAGTTGAATCAGACCAGCTGGGATGGGGTGGGTGTTCTAGACATAGCCTAGTAGCCAACTACACGATAAGATCATTAGTCAGTACAAGGAAGCCTGGTAGCAGGTAGCAATGACCAACCAAAACCAGTGCTGGGCCAGGAAACCAGCCCTAGAATACCAGTGAAAGCAAGTCCCCTGTCTTGGAGGGCTTGGCATTATAGGCACAGTATTAAGCAGGGGCTCAGACATAGAGTATAAGGTGGGATCATACTTTTAGATCTAGAGAACAAAAAAAGAGCTTGGCCAGAAGGGTCAAGACAAAAGTGCTGTCTTCAGAGCCAGAGTCAAAGCCTTCATGGAACCTGGTCACGCTTAATTCTAATTCTCTTAAATCTCTCACTACCAAGGATAGGAATGATCATAGCATGTAGGAAGTAATGACAATGCAGGTATAATCAGATAGAAACAGACTGTTTCGGATGGGGGGATATTCATAGGAGTGTATGAGGGAGACATTATAGGTGAAGAACATACACACCCTGACTCAGAATGCTAGCCATTGCTACTGTTGCAAGTCACCTGGTCACACTTCATTCTAAGGAGATAGCAAAGTGTCACCCTACTCTGTCTCTGGAAGGAAAGTTAGAAATATTCAGTGAACAGGACTAATGACCGTCACGCTCTTAAAACTTCCTGTCCACTGAGAGAATAGTCCTGCTCTCATTTGGAGGTGCCCATTGTTTTCCTGCACCCTTCTCCCTGATTCTCAGATGAAATATAGGCTCTCTGCCAACATGGATGAGCACATGACTCAAGTTAAACAAATCACAGTATTTCATTAGAATCCTGATTGGTCACATGCCCCCTTGAACCAATGACTGTCATTCAGGATTCTTCAAATTCTTCAATAAAGCATCCTATTTCTCTGGACATGGACTTAGGAGGATATGAACATGCCCTCAGTCATGCTCTCTGCCATTGGCAAATAACAGGGAACACACTAATATTTTTAATTTCTCCCTTCCAGGCATTTGATAGGAGTATACTTTATTGCCACCTGGAAACTATGTGTGCCCATGTGACTGGTTTGACCAACAAAATGTGAGCAAATGTATTTAAAAGTAGATGCCCAATGCTACAACTTCCTCTTCTTCTGCCTGTGCAAGTGAGGATGCATGTATTGACTGGGAGATGAGTCATGGAATGCTCCCTTGAAAAACCATGGCAGACTTAACATGACAAGAAAGAAATTTTGTTGTTTTAAACCAATGAATAAAAAAAAAGAATACATACTCTGAAGTCAGACAATCTAGAGGGTGAATTCCAGCTCCACCAGCTCTGTGACTTTGGGATGTTAGATTGCTGCGGTGAGCCTTGGTTTTCACATCCAAAATATGGGTTTATTACAACACTTGTTGTAAAGGTCATATGCCAGAAGATGCTTTGTGCATTGTGTCTCATGTGGCACATGATCAATAAATGGTAGCTTTTATTACATCCGTCATTTTCCAGCTGGGCAAACACGTTGACTGGTATGAGGGAGAGGAGGAAGGGTGGCAGCAGTTGATGCCAAGGACATTCGTAACATCCAGTTTCTTTCACTGTCCTCTATTGACATTTTTGGTTGTTTGAGGCTAGTGTCCAGCGTTGTTTTGATGGGCAGCTGCCCCTGGTACAAAGCTCAGAAGAATCACTGCTCTGAGTACTTTTCTCATAGATTCAGTCAGGATAGTTCAGGTTACACTGCTGTAATACACAACCCACAAATTGGAGTGGCTTTAAACACAAAGGCTTGTTTATTGCACACAGTACATGCTCATTATGGACTGGTAGGAAGCTCTGCTCCATTCATCTCATTCTAGGGCTGAGGCTGCTGAAACAGCCACTATCTACAACACTGCCAATCGCTATATCAAAAGGAAAGTGAGGATGGCATATTACTGCTTATAAAGCTTCCACCTAGAAGCAACACGGATCATTTCTACTCTTATTTTCTTGGCAAAAGCAAGTCACCTGGTCACACTTAATTCTAAGGAGATAGAAAGGTGTCATCCTACTCTGTCTCTGGAAGGAAAGTTCAGTTAGAGATATTCAGTGAACAGGACTAATGACCATTGACTTAGTCCACTGAGAAAATAGTCCTGCTCTCATTTGGAGGTGTCTATCTGTTTTTCGGCACCCTTCCCCCTGATTCTCAGATCAACTATAGCCTCTCTGCCAACATGGAGAGCACATGACTCAAGTTAAACAAATCATAGTATTTCATTAGAATCCTGATTGGTCACATGCCCCCTTGAACCAATGACTGTGGTTGAGTCATTGGTTCAAGGAGGCATGTGACCAATCAGGATTCTTCAAATTGGTACTGGGAGAAAAGCATCCTGTTTTCTCTGAACATGGACTTAGGACAATATGGGCACACCCTCAGTCATGCTCTCTGCCACTGACAAACAGTGCTGGGGGAAGAATGCTGAAGAACTGAGAGAAAGGAGGTAGAGACAGAGTCCTCGTAAAGGTTGACTGACATCTAGGGCTGGCCATACACTTCCCTTCCCATCTGGGTTAGTCCTGAGCCTGTTTGCCTTCAGATTCATGACTTTCCGTTCCTTGCTCTGCTCTGTAATGAGAGAGACTGATCCCTAGTGCCTGCGTTTCTCCAGACTCTTGTTTCAGCTGGCTTCTGGTGCTTTGGCCAAAGGAAGATGCTGACTGAATGCTGGAGATGGGGAAAAAGGAGAAGCAAGGGAACTTCTCCTCCTCTTTCTCTGCATTGGGCAATTTCTCCAGCAGCAGATGAGGATCCTCCTTGGCCTCAGCTTTCCCTGAACACATCCTCAGCTTCCATGCATTCCATGTCCTCCTAGGCTTCCAGCACCTGTATTTCTCCATCTTCGGGCTGGTAGTACCTTCTTGCGCTCGTGTATTTCTGCATTACCTTTCTCTCCCTTCGAGGTCACTCAGCTCTCTCATCATCTGTGCAGCCAATTTCCTGCATTAAATCCCCTCTGTTGCAAATACTTGAAGCAGTCTCTGTTTTCCAAGTGAGAGCTTAACTGATCAATGACTGTTTGGTTAGGGAAGCCACTGTGTTTCCTCCTCGGCTCAGGTGAATGGGAGACAGGTCTCTGTCACTTACAACTGAGGGTCTGGATGAATACAGCAGTCAACAGGAAAATACGTACCTATCACCTCCCAAATACTTACCCGATGCCAAGCATGGTGTTCAGCACTTTGTTTTCATTATGGAATCCATGAGGTAGGAATTATGATGACCATTTTATAGATGAGAAGCAGAGACAGACAGGTAAGTGATTTTCTCTCAATCAGGTTTATTTTCTTTAAGCAAAAATTCACTTAGAATCTGCTGCTCCATGAAACAAGCAATGGATTCCCACAGGTTTGTCAAGGCTCAGCGGTGGCAAGACAAGAAAGGAGGTGAGGAATGACAAAAGTCAAGTCTATATGCTATTTCTTGGCCTGGCCTAGAATCTGAACATGCTTCTCCCAGGCTGGAGTATAATGAGTAAAAGGAGCTCCATGTAAATGAGCTACAGGCATCCCTAGCAACTGTGATTCAAGTCAAGTTCTGGCCGCTAATTGCACACACATTTTGCTAAAGGTAGTAAATAGGAATCATTCACGTGTCCTTAGAGACCGCGGCACCATTCAGTATTCATAGCAAATATATCACTGAGCTTCATAAGAGAATCATTTTAAAACAAAGCTTGGTCAGCTGTTTAATAATTTACTGATAGTGACAGCAGGGAGAATATCTAATAACCAGTGAGATTGGCTTTCAAATAGAAAATAAATTCATGTTAGAAGAGAGAGAGGAGGGAAAAAAAGGGAAGGTGGGGGGAAGCATGATTAGCAGTGAGGAAATTTTTAACATTTGTCAGTTGCTGATTTTTTTTTTTTTTTTCCAAATCCTAGCAGAGTGGAGAAACCTGATTATTAAGAAGTTGCTTTTCATTTTAAAACATTCACGGGTCTTTAACGTTCTTCTCATGGGAAACAGGAATTAGCCAGAGAGCCCACCTGAAGCAGGGCGTTGACCCCCCCCGACCCCCCCCACCACCGGGCCCTGGGTGGGGGTCCACCTTGGTTAATTTGGGGGCTTTTGGGGGGCCATATGGTCTCCTCATATTTCAGCTATTCCTGGGGGAGTGAGGTAAGGCCTGAAAGACTGTAAAAACAAAGCCCCAAAGAAATAAAATCAACTTGAACTACAACTGTACATTCCTCTGCTCTGGGGAGAACCTGACCCAGAACTTATTACAAGGGATTTGGCTTCTGAGTAAACTGAACCCTATTTATTCTTGTTTACTGGCAAAGCTCTACTGAAATGTCTTAGAGATGAAAAGAGTTTTGAGATGGACGGGCTTGAAGTTCACTGTTGATTCTCATATTCCTGGCCCATGATTGGGAGACACAATTACAGGAATTTTAAAAAGTGCAGGAGCTGTCCAGGAGGAAAACAAAACCTAAAACCAGTATCAATCCCGAATCAGCAAACCTCCTTGTGCCTCAGTTTTCTCTACTGTAAATAGGACTAGTAAGAGAGCTGTAGGGGAATGCATGTAAGACTCTTCATTTTACACGGCTCAGAAAATGCAAGTTCAAACATTGCAGAGGCGGAAGCAAAACCAGAGTGAAACATCCCCAAGGTTATCAATCCTTAAGCTTCAGCGGCAGACAGTGATGTACATTGTGTTTATGGGTAAAGGAACATCTTAAGCGCCCCCCCATCCCACCCTTTACACCCCTCCCCAGCGCACAGGGCACACTCTGTCCTCAAACCAATCCCTAAATTTGCCACTCTGGAGACAGGCTTCCAGATAAGACATGATTTCCGTGTTCCCAGATGGTATTTTCTATGGTTTTACATTCCAAGTTTGTACCCTCGATCCTTCACGTTGATGTCAACAAACTCACTTTCATCTTTCAAGCTTGGAGAAATAATGATTTATCAATGTTTTACTTGTTGTGAGAATGGCTTGAAGAAACGTGCAGTCTGGACAGTCACGCCAAGGAACAATCTCAGTGCGTTCTGGAGTCCTCTGCCGTCATCCTAGCTCTGTTTCATGAGGGGAGCAGGAGATTCTGGGGGCTGAAGTTCACTGCTATCACTTGGGGTGAAATGTATTCCTGTGTTGTATAATAAAATGCTTTGTAAACAGATGCTGTTTTCTGAAACGTATGATAACAGTACCTGTCCCAGGGTAGAGAGACACAATACCAGAAATTTATAAAACTCCAGGAGCTGTTGAGAAGAAAACACGACTTAAAACCAAATCAATCCTGAATCAACAAACCTTCTTGTGCCTCAGTTTCTTCTTTTGTAAATGGGGAATAATAAGAGAATTGAGGGGTGGATAATGCACATAGGCTTTTAGCTGCCTGCATGGTTCAGAGTAAGTAAAGTTCAAGTTCTACTAGGTTAGCGATGGAGTAACTTGCTGGATGAGAACATTTTGAGGGTAACATGCTTTGGTACGGAGGAAAGGGAGGTTGTGTAAAAATCACAGGGTTAGGCCAGGCACGGTGGCTCACGACTATGATCCCAGCACTTTGTGAGGCCGAGGCACGTGGATCCTTTGAGGCCAGGAGTTTGAGGCCAGCCTGGCCAACATGGCAAAACCCCTTCTCTACTAAAAGTACGAAAACTAGCCAGGCTTCATGGTGCATGCCTATAATCCTGCCTACTTGAGAGACTGAGGCATGAAAATCACTTGAACACAGGAGGTGGAGGTTGCAGTGAGTAAAGATCACATCACAGTACTCTAGCCTGGGCGACAGAGCCAGACCCTGTCTCAACAACAACAAAAATCACAGGGTCTGTCTAGGTACAGGGCTTAGAACGAGTGTCAGATGGAGAGGATGAGGACATAGAGAAGCAGCAGGCCCCAGGTGACATTTATGGCTGTCATCCTCAACACAGAGGGGTGGACAAAAGACCTAGGCTGGCCAATTACAGTGACACCCCTTCCCCCTGCCAATATCCCTGGCCAATTTGATTGATTCAGGAAATAGAATGTGAACCAAATCACCCAAAAGTATCTTTACTGGGTTTTTGTGGATAGTGTGGTGGGGTGTTGCAGAAGGTCTCACTTTATACTGAAGGTGGTAAGCTTTGAGACCTGTGTATGGAGCTGCCATGGCCAGTTTCTTTGACTACCCACAGAGAGAAGCCCATCTGAAACAGAGACAGAGACAGAGATAGACAGACAGGGAGAGAGAGGAGGCAGATGCCATCATTTGAGTACCTAGATTTAGCTTTGCCTGAAGGTGCACATGAACTGCTCAGCTAAATAAGCCACTGGGTTCCTCTTCACTTAAGCTTGAGTTGGGTGTCTGTCATTCATAAGAAAAAGAGTCTTGCCTAAAATACAAGGAGTGTATGTGTTCCCGGCTCAGTATTCATCCTTTAAGCCCTTATAGGTGTCTGAGACATAGAATGGGCAAATGTAGACCTGCATTCCTGAGAATCACCTGGGGTGCCCATTAGAAATGCAAACTTCTGGCCGGGCGCGGTGGCTCAAGCCTGTAATCCCAGCACTTTGGGAGGCCGAGGCGGGTGGATCACGATGTCAAGAGATCGAAACCATCCTGGTCAACATGGTGAAACCCCGTCTCTACTGAAAATACAAAAAATTAGCCGGGCATGGTGGTGCGCGCCTGTAATCCCAGCTACTCAGGAGGCTGAGGCAGGAGAATTGCCTGAACCCAGGAGGCAGAGGTTGCAGTGAGCCGAGATCACGCCATTGCACTCCAGCCTGGGTAACAAGAGCGAAACTCCGTCTCAAAAAAAAAAAAAAAAAAAAAAAGAAATGCAAACTTCTAAGCTTCAACCTACAGAGATGCTGATTCAGCTGCATGCATCATTAATAGACAACCCAGTTCCAGTGCAGGTGGGGTCCACGGCCTCACACTGAGAAGTATATCACTTGCCAAGCACACCCTCTTCAGTAACATAGGTCCCACGTGCAGGGATCCCCTAAGGTGAGCAAGGTAGGGGAGCATCTTTAGGAAAGTGTATTAGATTATAAGAGGGTGGGTAGAGCTCTGTGTAGCTGTTCCCCCAAACTTCTTAGATGATTTATATTTCACCTACCTAGGGGTGGGGAGAACTCTGAGGAGTCCGTGCAGTGTTCTTGGCAGAGAAACTTGGGGAAGATTTAAAAATACTGTTGCTTGGGGCCTACTCTAATAAATCAGTGGCTGAGGGTGGGGCCCTAGGTGATTCTAATACGCAGTAGGGTTGAGAACCACTGCAGCCGAAATCC